AAGCTAGCCTTTGAGGTTCTAAAATGTGGGAGTAATAGGAAGAAGGAGCAGCCAGTTTAGGAGAGAGCGTGGTTGTGGCCAGTGAAAAAAAGGTTCCATAGCTGGATATCGCCTGGCATGAGATACACCCTTACAAGCAAGCTTGGTCTCTATATTAGGGCCCACTGTGGAACGGAAACCATCCTAGGGATTGGACCTGGAACCATGGTGGTGCGGGCCTCACAAAGTACAGTTGTGTTCAAAAATAATAGCAGTGTTTAGAAAAAAAGTAATGATAAAAAGCTTTTATTTCCATACACACAAATGCATTGGGAACACTACACATTCTATTCCAAAAACCCCCAAAACATGAAGAAAAATATATCAAATTTGTGTTGTTCCTCTAAAAAAATTGAAGAAAAGTGAATATTAGACTGTTCAAAAAAATAGCAGTGTTTGTATTCTTCTTTACAAACTCAAACATTCACTATATAAACTGAAAAATGTTTGAAGATTCTGCTTTCCTTTGAATCACTTAAAATGGAATATATAGTTGTATAAAGGCACGTTTTTCTGAAAACTGCTGTACATCTGTGTTGCATGGAGTCAACCAACTTCTAGCACCTGTGAACAGGTATTCCAGCCCAGGAATGATTGGACAAAAAAGCATTCCACAGTTCTTCTCTAGTTTTCTTGGTTTTGCCCTCAGAAACTGCATTTTTGATGTCACTCCACAAGTTTTCTATTGGATTAAGAATCCGGGGATTGGGCTGGCCACTCCATAACGTCAATCTTGTTGGTCTGGAACCAAGATGTTGCACGTTTACTATGTGTGAGTTTGGGTCGATGTCTTGTTGGACGACCCATTTCAAGGCATTTCCTCTTCAGCATAAGGCAGCATGTACCTCTTCAAGTATTTCTGATGTATTCAAACTAATCCATGATCCCTGGTATGCGATAAATAGGCCCAACACCGTAGTATCGAAATCATCCCCATATCATTATGCTTGCACCACCATGCTTCACTGTCTTCACAGTGTACTGTGGCTTGAATTCAGTGTTTGGGGGTCGTCCCTGACAAACTGTCCTCCCGGCCACTAGACCCAAAAAGAACAATTCTTAATTTCATCAGTCCACAAAATGTTGCGCCATTTTCTCTTTAGATGCAGTCAAAATGTGCTCTTGGCAAAATTGTAACCTCTTCAGCACGTCTTTTTTTCAACAGTGGGACTTTGCGGGGCTTCTTGCAGAATAGCTTGGCTTCACATAGGCGTCATCTAATTGTAACAGTACTCACAGGAGTAACTTAGACCTTCTTTGACCTTCCTGGAGCTGATGTGTTGGCTGAGTCCATTGCCATTTTGGCTATTCTTCTATCCATTCGAATGGTAAAGTTTTTTTGCTTTCTTCCACGTCTTTCAGGTTTTGGTTGCCATTTTAAAGCATTTGCGATCATTTTAGCTGAGCAGCCTATCATTTTATGCACTTCTTTATATGTTTTTCCCCTCTCCAATCAACTTTTTAATCAAGGTACGCTGTTCTTCTGAACAATGTCTGGAATGACCCAGTTTCCTCAGAATTTCAGAGAGAAATGCACTGTAAACCAGCATGTGCAACATTTGCCTGCCTTCCTTTCCTTAAATAAGGGCAATAATTGCCACCTTTTTTTCAAAGAATGAATGACCTCACTAACTAGAACTCCACACTGCTATTATTTTTGAACACGCCCCTTTCAATTAGTGATTCAATTACACAGAATTCATCAGTATGCATGAACTAAAAAAAAAACCATGACTGTTGGGTCTGTTGGATTTTATTACTTCTACTACACCTGCTAGTAAATTATTTGCCATGTAGAAATATCATTTCTACCAAAAACAGTGATTGATCAGTGTTAGTGATTGTCTGACTGCTATTATTTTGTAAACACAACTGTAGATGGTGGTGGGCATGTGAAACATAAATACAGGCTCCTTACCATGCAATACTTTCAGCAAACCTGGTATGTGCCAAGTTCACAAACTTATAGGCCTAAACCCCCGGAGTACAAAACAGCATCTAACCCAAGCATATACAAGAGTTCTTTCAAAAAGTTTCCGCACTTTGCATTAAACAGCCATCTTCAACCGCAGTGTGAAAACTCTTATACAAACTGCAAGGTCAGCCAGGTTGCCAGAAAGACTAGTCACATGACACTCTTAGACATGACCATGTACTACTCGTCCCACCCACACCGTTTCCAATGAAAATGTATGTGTGGAAACTTGTTGAAGAACCCTCGTACTTACCTATCTTGTGGGGTCATCGGGACCCCAGCCAGTGTCTACACTTCTAAATGACTTCTGATGACAGAGGTATTGGCACCAATACACTTGTACCATGTTACTCTTTGTATTGAGGGACCCCAGCATGAATTCTTGAGGGTGGTCACCACCTGCACTTGTCACCACCTTCTACGGCGGCCTTATTTAGTGTCCTTGTTTGGCTGATGTTGTCCATTGTAGGTGTAATGCCTATGAAAATGTGTTTGGCCTTGGATCCTTTGTTTCTTGGGTAATTTTTATAATGAAGCATTGTTGCGCAAATGCCAGGGGCATGAGAGAGGTGACTTGATGTCATTTCTTTAGCCAAAGGAACAGAGTCACAAGATATTCTGCTGAGAGCAAGATAAAACCTTGTTTATGGAATGAACCGTGTTTATGGCATCTAGTAACCTCACATTAGGAGATAAAAACCTGTTTAACCACTTGAGCTCCAGAGGATTTTTACCCCCCTTTCCTGACCAGGCCTCTTTTTTGCTACTCGGCGCTGCACTAATTCAAACTGATAATTGCGCAGTCATGCAATGCTGCACCCAAACGAAATTTACGTCCTTTTTTTCACACAAATAGAGCTTTCTTTCGGTGGTAATTTGATCATCTGTGTGCTTTTTATTTTTCACGCTATAAACAAAAAAAGGCCATGGCCAAAAATTTTGAAGAAAAACAAATATTTTTTACTTTCAGCTATAAAAAATATATAGTAAACTCAAAGTTGGTTATAAATTTAGGCCAAAATGTATTCTGCTCCATGTTTTTGGTAAAAAAAATCCCAATAATTGTATATTGATTGCTTTGTGTGGAAGTTATAGCGTCTACAAACTATGGTATAGATACTGCAATTTATGCCATTTTTCTGCTATACAGCACTGCGCTAGTTTAAACGGACAATTGCGCGGTCATGCAATACAGTACATAAATGAAATTTACATCCTTTTTTTCCCCACAAATTGAGCTTTCTTTTGGTGGTATTTGATTGCCTGCGTGCGGTTTTTATTTTTTTGTGTGCTATAAAAAAAAGGCTGACAATTTTGAGGAAAAAAAAACAATATTTTGGACTTTTTGCTATAAAACATGTCCAGTAAAAAAAAATGCAAAAATCAAATTTAGTCATAAATTTCTGCCAAAATGCATTCTGCGACATGTCTTTGCTAAAAAAAAAAAACCAGTATGTGTAAATTAATTGGTTTGCGTGAAAGTTATAGCATTTACAAATGGCGGGAAAGATACTGGGATTTTTAGGGTTTTTTTTTATAGTAATAATGGCGGCAATCAGCGAATTATGGCGGCGATCAGTGACTTATGGCAGCGGCCAGCGACTTATGGCAGGACTGCGGTGTGGACATTCTGACATTGGGGGGTACTGACTTGGGGTCACTGACATCCCCAGTGACACCAGTACAGTGATCAGTGCAAAAAAAAAAACACTGACACTGTACTAATGGCAATGGGGAGGAAGGGGTTAACTTTATTTTGCAGGGAAGGGTTATCTATGTGAGGGGGAGTGTTTTACTAGGGGGCGGGGGTGTGTGCGCTCTCTGTCACTGTTTGCCGCCGATCGCCGGGAAACAGCCGGTAAGGACCGGCTGTGACCTGGCGACTGACATCCGTGGCGGTGATCGGCGGGACAGATAGGGCGGAGGCGCGCTCTCGTTTACAAAAACACACGTTTTAAAACGTGGTTTTGCCTGCCCGTGCCGCCGTATTTCTACAGTGGCAGGGCGGCAAGTGGTTAAGGACATCTAAGTTAGAAATCCTTAAGTCTGGGGGAGATGAAAAGAGGTTTTGGGGTAGATAAGAAGCAAAAGTGTGACTTCTCAGATAACGAATATGGTGGTTGAACATGACTGTTATCCTAACGGAACCCTTCTGCTAGCCCCTCCTGCAGTGGGTGTGGCACCGCCCACTATTGGACTGCTTCCAGAAAAAGGGCTTATAAGGCGAAGGTTCGGGCAAGACCAGTGGAAGCTCCCCTAGTGGCCAGAGGACGTGCTGACGCTGGGATTTTACCAAGGCTGTATGGGCTCATCAACAGGTCGCACGTATGGCTTCTCCGTGACCCACTGGGCACTTTGGTTCCGATGGGATCTGTTCCTCCCAGCTTCCACATAGCTTGTAATGTATTAATTCTATGCTGTGACGCTGTCATATGATGTGTCTCTTTCATGCTGTAATGCTCACATTATTTGAAATGCTTCAGCAAGATGTGCGGGGCTGTCATTCATTCTGAACAGCGCCCCCCATGTATCTCAGCCTGCACTGCGATCGTGGGTGCAAGAACTGCAAGTGTTTTCCCTGTGGATGCGTTTCTGGAAAAGCGCATGCACGTTTTCCTGGTGTGAAATGCAGACACTGATGAACGCACTGCTGAGCCGCACAAACATGGGCTATACAGCCAGCACTAGTGTGACCCGGGCCTAGGAGGACACACTTGTACAATGGCGTACTAGGAATGGATGGAGGCTACACCCATATACATGTATTCCTATAGACAACACTTGTCTGCTCTCCTGCATAGACACAGGGCACGAAGAGCCAGCTATTCCCATTCATGCCGGACAGCAGCCCAGACATCGCCTCCCCCACACTCTCCTGTGAGGTCACAGCTGAGTACAGAACAGAGCAGGCGCGCAAGTTAGCAGGAGTTTGGGCCCAGCTCGGAATCCGTGACCGGAAGGGGCGGGGTATACCGTGTCTACTTCCGCCCAGGTTTGTCACATTGAGGAAGGGCACGGCGTTAGTGGAGGTGAGCGGTAGTTGGGCTCGGCATACACTGGGGGAGGGGGAGAGAGGACGGGGCTGCGCTATAGCCGGTATATCAGCAGCGTGCGGCTCCCTCTATGGCGGCGGACACCTCTCTCTGGTGTCACAGGCTCCACCGGCTGTCCTTGGCGGCTCCAGGCCGGTCATATGGGGAGCCGCACACAGGAAGCAGTGCTGGTTCCTCTCTGTGTGTAGGGGGTGTATGTCCTGTGTGAGGAGGCGCAGGGGGGTGTATGTTCTGTGTGTGGTTTTTTTTTTTTTTTTTTTTTTTTCCCCTGACGTTTTGTGTTAATATGTGACATAAATTGGACCTACCACTATCTTACTCTCTAGAGGGGTAGGCAACCTGCAGCTCTATAGCTGTTGTGGAACTACATTTCCCATGAGGCATTGCAACATTACTAAACCGAGTTACAGCTATGACATGCAGAGGCATGATGGGACTTGTAGTCCTGCAACAGCTGGAGAGCCACAGGTTGCCTACCTCTGCTCTAGGGTGTCTGCTTTCAGAAAATGTTTTGGGCATTTTTTGTAATCTTCAGGCTTAAAATTATTTTTTAAATGTGTGAGCAAAAATTGCTCTAACAGCGCAAAGGTTAAAGGATAGGTTCACCTTCAGGAACATTTTGCAGTTCCACCTGTGATGAAACATGTAACGTGTCCCCGCTCCTGCAGCAGCTCTGCGATTCGAGCATAGGAAACGTTCCCTGTGCCAGCTGTCGCTGTTTGAAAAGAACATGGCTGTGAGGGAGTCTACCCACATGGCTGCGTCATTCATTCAGCGTTCTGTGAATTAATGCTTGAGGTGATTGTAGCTGTATTAGTGCACTTGTGACAGAAACAATTGAGTACTGTCCGTGATACTTTTTTATTTGCACTAACATTGAAGAAGGGGACATACCCCAAAAGCTTTCCTCAAAATTGTATGTTAGTGCAAATAAAAAAGTATCACGGACAGTACTCAATTGTTTCTGTGAATTAATCAATTACAAGTACTGAGATACTTTGCAGATTTAGGCTTGTAGTCCTCAGTGAACTACCACGGTGCTGGTCCTTTCCAGGCTCCTATAAAAAAAAAAACTGCTCTCCTCCCTTTTTTTTTTTTTTTTTTTTTTTTTTTTTTTGACAATTCCGCGGTCATGCAACACTACCCATATTCTTTTTCTATTATAAAATTTTGCAGATAGCTAATTTTTCTCCACTGATGTGCGTTGATGAGGCAGCACTGATGGACAGCACTAATGGGAGGCACTGATGATCAGTGCCGATCCCTTAGCTGACAATTGTCAGTTCTCAGCAGTACTTTCCTAACGCTGTGATAGCGTGAGGAAAGTGCAGCTGATAGGCGACAACTGTATTTACCTGGTGATCTGCTCTCATTGGACACAGCTGATCACGTGGTAAAAGGCGTAGGACACAGCGGTCACCAGCGCCGCTGGGGGTGCACAGGGGGCGTGTTCTGGGAGGACGTCCTCCCAGAACTAGACAACCGCTCTGTAGCTATCCTTCGGCTATAGCACGGTTGGGAAGTGGTTAACAGAGCAGACACTGGAGCTTGATTTGGCTGACTGAAACATGATATCCCAGAGCTGTTCTATTGGATTTAGGTCAGGCGAGTGTGGGGGCCATTCAGTGATCAACTTCTGTATCCTCCAGGAACTGCCTGCATACTCACCACATGGGGCTGGGCATTGTCGTGCACCAGGAGGGACCCAGGACCCACTGCACCAGCGTAGGGTCTGACAATGGGTCCAAGGATTTTATCCCAATTCCTAATGGCAGTCAGGGTGCCATTGTCTAGCCTGTAGAGGTCTGTGAGTCCCTCCATGGATATGCCTCCCCAGATCATCACTGACCCACCACCAAAACGGTCATGATGAACAATGTTACAGGCACCATAATGTTCTCCGCGGCTTCTCCCGACCCTTTCACGTCTGTCACATGTGCTCAGGGTGAACCTGCTCTCATCTGTGAAAAGCACAGGGTGCCAGTGGTGGACCTGCCAATTCTGGTGTTCAATGACAATCGAGCTCTATGGTGCCAGTCAGAGAACACAGGGCACACTAGAGGATGTTGTGCCCTCAGGCCACCCTGCATGAAGTCTGTTTCTGACTGGTCAGAGACATTCACACCAGTGGCCTGCTGGAGGTCATTTTGTAGGGCTCTGGCAGTGCTCATCCTGTTCCTCCCTGTACAAAGGAGCAGATAACGGTCCTGCTGATGGGTTAGGAACCTTCTACAGCCCTGTCCAGCTCTCCTAGAGCAACTGTCTGTCTCCTGGAATCTCCTCCATGTTTTTGAGACTGCGGGGCGATGCAACAAATCTTCGGGCAATGACACGTATTGATGTGCTATCCTGGAGGGGTTGGACTGCCTGTGCAACCTCTGTAGTGTCCAGGTATGGCCTCATGCTACCAGTAGTGACACTGACCCTAGCCAAATGGAAACCTAGTGAAAAACAGAAAAAATGAGTAGGGAAAAAATGTCAGTGGCCTCCACCTCTAAAACCATCCCTGTTTTGGGGGTCGTCTCATTGTTGCCCATCTAATGCGCCTGTAGTTAATTTCATTAACACCAAAGCAGCTGAAACTAATTAACAACCCCCTCTGCTACTTACCTGACCAGATCAATATCCCAGGAGTTTAATTGACTTGACTCTATACTCTGATTAAAAAGTGTTCCTTTTTTTGAGCAATGTAGATTGGGACCCCAATTTAATCCCTGGATGAGTAGTGTGTCGTCCCCCCCCCCCCCCCCCCCCCATCACCCTGTAATATAGTCACCACATATAAGAATTGGAAAGCTGAAATATAATTTAATATAATACAGTTTTGATTTTGCGTTTAATACCACTTTGAGGACTAAGTCCACCTCTTCTAGAAAGCAGACTATGCTTTGAAGATACAATAGATAAAAAAAAAAAGATCTTTGTAAGATCTTCATTAGTTTTACTTTGTTTTTATTAGTTATACTTATAGGCTATTTGGAGCTCCTCCGGAAGCCTGTTGACTTTTAACCAGGGGTGCCAGGGGTGAACTTCCAATGGTTTTCATGCCCTAGCAATAAGGTAGGATGTGGGGATTGCTGACTGAGTTTTGTTTTTTCCAACCCCCCGGTTTTCATAGAGACTAAATGAACACATATTGGCTGTAGGACTCGCATGCACAGCCAAGTTTGACAGGCACACGGAAATGGGTGCATGGGGCCAGACACATAGCCTGTGCTCCTGGATCTGTGTCCCTGTCAGATCCAGCTGGTGAGTCCATATAGCTAGCGCATGTCGATTCAGTTTCTATGGGCTGCCTGCACACCCCTTAGTGCTGGTAGAAAAAGTAATCTGCTCTGGCCCCTGCATGGGGCTGAGTGTGTGAATGAGCCCTAAATTGTGCAGCCCTTGGGGCCCCTCTAAACGAAGGGCTGCATGTGGCTCCCTAGAAGCTAGTCTCCTAAAAATTATTTATTACGAAGACCCCTAGGCAGTTATAGTGCAGTGTGCTGCTCCCTTTTTTGTGCTTGTCAGTTGCCTATACCTCTTCACTGTGTTTTGGCCATACGTCCCATACTTCTCTCACCCTAAACACTAGTACTGCTCAATATAACGTCCAGTCACTGCATAGATTGAGAGGCTGTTGGCAGCAGGGCTGCACCCTTGCTTCCTGGGTGTCTGACTGACAACATGCACACAAACATTTTGGCTCATGCATTAAATCCTTCTGTTGTCAGAGGATTATTCCCGACTATGTTGGGTTTTATTTTAACTCCAAGCACAAAAACATTAATAAATGGATAAAAATGATATAAATTCACTTTGTGTGCACCAAATGCCTTTGAACCACTTTGTAGAAGTAGCAGTGACCCCATCACTGTGCTGTACATAGCCTGTGCAGAGAGCAGAGCTGTGGGAGGGGCCTATTTTTAGCCGTCTCCAGTCATGTGATCCTGCTGACCTCTGTCAGCCAGCAGTGGCTGCAATGGAGAGCAGGGAGTGCTGACAGTGGCTGGGACATAGGAGTCTACAAGTGATGGCACGGCTCCTAGATTTCCCACCCTTTGATAAGCGCTCTCTCCCCTGCAGCTGCTGACTGACTGACACGGGAGATCACATGACTACACCGGAGCAAGCTGAAAATGGGTAAATATACACACTTTTTATATACAGGTTATTCTACATAGGTAGCAGGAGGGGGGAGAGAACATTTTTAAGGCTACTTAGGAATTCTACCTTGGCCTCTTCCCAACCGCATTATAGCCAAGAGACGGCTACAACACGGTCGTCCAGTTCTGGGAGGGTGTCTATAGATGTTCCTTGAGGCACACTCTGTGATTGCTGTGTCCTTCGGACATAGTTATTCACAGATCACAGTAAAGGGCCATCACAGCGGCCCTTTACCGTGTGATCAGCTGTGCCCAATCACGGCTTATCAAATTGTAAACAGACGTGCTGGTTATCGGCAGTCCTTTCCTCACACACTCACAGCCTGAGGAGAGGGCCAGTATTTGCCAGTTCTGACAGGGGACATTTACACTTATAATCAGGGCACTGACCATCAGTAACGCCTGTCAGTGTCCATCAGTGAAGGAGAAAAATTACTCGTATGCAAAATTTTATAAACGAAACTAAAACTTTTTTTTTTTTTTGCTAAAAAAAATAAAAAAAAAAAAAAAAAAATTTGTTGGTCTTTTTTTGGCTTGTTTGGAAAAAAAACCAAAAAAACAGTGGTGATTAAATACCACCAAAAGAAGCTCTGTCTCACAAAATGGAGGAGTGGTTGTAAACCTCAGACTTGAAATTTTTACAAAGCACATATTTCTATAGTGTTTGCATGACTCTCTCCAAAGCACTAAGTGTCATTTATCTCTTCTGTTATCAGCATGAGTCACTTCTGACCAATTTTCCTGACACCAAGAGCTAAAAGTGTGACAGGGGAGGGATCTCAAGCACAGAGCTAAAAGTGTGACAGGGGAGGGATCTCCAGCACAGAGCTAAAAGTGTGACAGGGGAGGGATCTCCAGCACACCGTAGAATGTGTAGCAGGGCACATCGGTGAAAGATGTGGTGGATGGTGAACTGGAACACCGGTACTGAGCAGCACTTCTGGGAGTGGAAGCAAGCTCTGTGTGGAGGAAGATGAGACAGGAAGGCGCTTCTAAGTGTAGTATATCCAAGTTCAACTTTAATAAAAGCGGTTAAAAACACTTACAGTGTAAAACAAGCTCTTTGTAATCCGTCATTTGTAGGGCTTTGTCCACTAAGCAAGGAACCGCTGTGCCAGCCAGCAGCTGCAGGGGGAGCTTGAGATATTTTGTGGGGAGCTTGAGAATATTAAAGATGGCTGCCGCTCTTCCGGGACCGCTGTAATGCACGCCGTCCAGGGAGCCACAGACCAGAAGTGACATGAGCGGTGACGCGTTTCGGAGCATGCACAGAGCTCTTTCTTCAAGACCGATGTTCAAGTTAAGGAAGAGCCAAATAAATAGGGTGGAGGGGTGGGAACGGGGCAGTCTGGGGAGACAAAGGTACATGCCTCCCGGAGCAAATGTGGTGTAGATAAGGAGCAGACTATATTAAAGTGACATGGTCTGAAACGGATGGGGAAACTAAAAATGGATCGGAAAACAATAAAACAAAAACTGAGCTGGACTATACGGAAGAAAGTTATTGTTAATAATATGAAGGCTGTATTGAAGTATGTATATCTAACTCATAAGGGAATAATAATATACATGGTAAAGGGGTATGTGGAAGAAAAAGGGAGGGAAATATGATGTGATCGTCTCCTCCACGCTCACATCACTTCCGGTCTGTGGCTCCTTGGATGGCATGCGTTCCAGCGGTCTCGGAAGAGCAGCAGGTCATCTTTAATATCCTATCTCAAGCTCTCCCTGCAGCTGCTGGCTGGCACAGTGGTTCCTTGCTTAGTGGATAGAGCCCCGCAAATAATGGATTACAAAGAGCCTGTTTTACCCTGCTACACTGTAAGTGTTTAACCACTTTTATTAAAGTTGAACTTGGATATACTACATTTAGAAGCACCTTCCTGTCACATCTCTCTCCAGCACACAGCTTGTGATTGACAGCCTAGATCTGTTCCTGTGTGCTCTCGGAGCTCTGCAGCTCCCTGCCCTTTGCTATGTGAGTCTGTGAAAGATCCTTTGCATCTCTGAATTGTACAAGGATGTACAGGACAAATGGCTGCACATAGAGAGGTACAACTTATGTAGAAGTATTTGTTTCATCTTTGTAACACCTGAGGCCAGTCACTTCACTGGGTATATGTAAGAGTTTACAACCTCTTTAAACTCTACACAACAAAAGTGTTCTCTAAAGAGGAAAGCCACCTTGTTTAGTTTTTGGGCATCATGCTGAATGTGTCGTCTCATTTTCTGTTCAGCCTCACTACTACAACCTTCTAGATACATATAAAATGTCAGGTGATATGTCATGCCTTTGTCAATTCCTGCTTAATGTAATGGGTGCAGAAAGTTCTATTGTTGTGCAAGAGGTGATCCATTGTGACTAGCTAAGGCATGGCAGATCGCAACCCTAACAGAATGTTAGAGCTAAGAAGGCAGCAGTGTGAGCACATGTGTAGTACAGGCAGGTTATTGGCTCAGGATTCTGTTTATTTCCTTAGACCTTTCCAAACTTTAAAGAGTCTGTGGAAGCTGTGCTCAGGACAAGTCCAGCAGAGGGCCAAGGACTAGTCCTGTAATCTTTCTGCAGCTGATTCTTGGCACTGTCCTTCAATGTAACATTTACAGTATATTTTTGTGGCAGAGGTGAGCTGATGACTGATAGTAAGAATGATCTAGCGGCAGCAGGAATCATATACATGGCATGAATGAAGTATTAGCAGAGAGATGCTTGCATTGCAGATCCTCATTTACAGCTAACTCCCCAGGAAGTCAAAACAGTAAGCATCACCGTAGTGACCTAACTTCACATTTAAGTATAGGTCTGCCTTAAAGCTGATCTAATGTGCTAGTAAGCATCGCATACTAGCCCATTGTGTAGGACTTGCCCTAAAACAAAGCCCTCCAGTGGCTTGTCAGCACTGGAAAGACTTCCATCTTCACCTGGTCTTCCCTTCCAGGTTTGTGAGCTCCAGCCGTCTGACTGACTGGGCCATGATGACATCACAGACCCAAGCCATGGGACGGTACTCTGAAGGAATGGCAAGTGCCGTGCCGTTCGGAGCTCATAGGCCAGCTCTAAAAAAAAAAAAAAAAAAAAAAGCTCCCCTAAACTGCACGTTTAGGAGATATTCGTTTTACCTACAGTTAGGCTTTTATTATGAGCTTACCTGTAGGTAAGTTAAAAAATAGTTTACTGCCACTTTAATGATGTCCTTGTAACTGGGCCCAACTGTGTTCCTGCTACTGCATGATGGGCAATTCAGAGCACTCCAATGTAGTGTGAGTTGTCACCTGCTATGAGACATAGGACTGGTAAGGAGACCCTCTAAATTGTGCGCTTAAAGGGAGCCTGCGTGGATTGAAATAACTGCTCTGCAATTGCTGTCTTCGTTTTGAAGATGCAGATTCTGTGGATGTCATCTTTATTCTGGCTTCACTATTTGGTGAGGCACTGACCTGGGACAAGCATGTCAGGTCCAGTCCTGGAGCATGCACTGTCACAAAGATTTTAGAACTAGACCACTAAAATAAGACTTGGTAACTCTTTCATGAGAAAAGTATGGCAGCTGTCGTTGCTGACCTCTCCTTTCTGAATGCTGGTTCCCTGGCTGCCATGCTGCTGATTTGGCTTTTTCAGAAGCTTTCCTGGCTCATTCACAGCATGCTTCTTAAATGAAATTGAGGCACAGCCAGGCAACCAGCATTTTCAAGAGGGCCACCAGTGTCACCCAGTCCTGGTCTCATGATAGTAACTTTATTACAGAAAAAGGACAGAATATTACGTGTTGTAAATGTGTGTAATGTGCAAACAAGGAACATTGTGGCTGGAATGTAACTTTAATCTGGAACTGTGTAATGCTCAATCAGCATGAAAATGTCATTGTCACTGACTGTTCTGTTTATTTTTTTAGGTTTACTTACCAACGCCATCATGTCACAGGGTCTTCTGACTAAACCTCAGATGAGAGGCCTTCTGGCCAAGAGATTGAGATTCCACGTTATTGGAGCCTTCATCTTTTCCCTGAGTGTTGTAGCTCTGTACAAGGTGATCTCTCCTTCTGATTGTAATTGTTTATGCTTAGTTTAGTTCCTCGGCAATGGTGTCGTCACCTTAAAAGCAAGTCTGTTGAGCATACGGTGATGACTGCATTTTACTCATGAACTGTCACTTCATAAAGCTTTTTTTTTTTTTTTCTTTGTCTTGCACATGATAAATCCTATTTTTTTTTTTTCTTTTTTTTTTCTTAAAGGCCCCAAAATGTTAAAAATAAGTGCCTATACAGTTTAAAATCCAGTAATGCACTGTCTCCTTTTGTTCTGCACAGCCTCAGTTGTACTTTATTCTCAGTACTGTGGAGAGCCACTAGAGCCTGATTTACTGACATCCTAAAGATTTACTGCTGCTCAAGGGTTCTGCGCTTCAGTAAAATGGCAGCCCGGGACAAGAAGAAACCGGAGCAATGCTGGAGGCAATTTACAGCACACAATAATTTTGGTAGCATTATTATTAATTTAGAATGTTCCTTACTAAAGAACATTATTTTTTATCAAGTTGTTGAGTGCTGAGACCTGTCCTCCATGCATAGCTTGGTTGAAAAAAAGAAATGTCTATCTAGTTCAACTATTAAAAGGGGGGGAATTTAAAAAATCTCCCTCTCCCTCCCTACTTCAAACTGTATGTCAAATATTGACATGTGGCTGTGTAAATGGAGAGGCTTTGCACTGAGGACAGGTCTCAGTGGCTGTCTGAGCCCTAAAAGGCTTTACAGCTCATCAGTTTACAGTTGACTATAAATGAGGGACTCCATAAGAATAATTGCTGTCACTCCAGTGTGGCATTATACTAAATGTGTGTTTGGCTTTTTTTTTTTTTTTTCTTTCTTTTTTATAATTCACCATCTCTATTCGCTATGGAAATTTATTACTAAAGGTGAAAAAAAAATCCCAAATGTCTCTAGTCCTCTTCCAGGATGGCAAACGTGAGAGATGACTAACTCCACCTGACAGGAAACACAATAAAAAATAAAAGGCACTGACCGGAAGCCGGAAGGTCCCCCCTGGGGGGTTAAGCAGCTGAGCCAAGGATGGCAAGCTGTGAACCGGGGTCACTCGCCCAATCCAGGGGTTCCCAGTATGTAGGAGCTTTCCGGGTACGGGGGGGGTGTGCCTGGTGTTCCCGGGGACAGGTGCTCTTCTTCCCTCATTCATGGCAGCGGGGAGGCGTGGGGTGACAAGAAGAGGACCAGGCCGTGAAGCTACTATCTCGTGGGTGCCTTGGAACCACCAGCCGGAACCAAGAATCACGCTTCATGCGTTTTTGTGGGGCAGTCGTGGTGGCGTCCAGAGTTAGCTCTGCTAGGTAGGCAGGCAGAGAGCCTAGGATCGGTGGAAGCAGGAGCGAGGCTGTGGACCAAGCCTTGTTCTCAGTTAGATTTCCAGTTAGGGCGGGACTTCTGCCTTAAACATGGCTGTGCCGGTCAGTGTTCCCTTCCTCATGAGGCCGGTGAGGAGCCTCCAGAAATCACCTCTGGGAGTGTGGACCCAGGAGCCTGGCGATGGTGTCACAGTCCCGAAGGGGCCCTGCTGAAAATGGAAGGCGTGTGAGAAGACCACAGGCAGTGAATCTGACTTGGCTGGTGGGGGAGAGGAGGGGGGTAGAGTTTTTACCCACTCCCCTACAGGTGCACCTAGGGGAGAAGGAACACCGCCCTAATCGGGGCCCCTTCTTTTGTTTCTCCTTAGAGCCATGTGGAACCACCCAGGAGAGCGCCCATAAGAAGTCTAAGGCTAAAGCCCCCCCCACTCCAAATGGTGGGCTTATTGCATTGAGAAAGTCCTGCAAGACCATGCCAGACCCTTTTTTGTTACAAATGTATCCACAAGTTATCAGGGAAAGAAACCTCTGCGCTTATGAAGGATTTTTTGTCCGTGCAAACAGATGTTAGCCACCTTCCAATCCTTTAAGACGGCTCTGACATCTAGGGAGGTGGATACTCAGTCCTCTAGGGAAGGGTCATCTTCCGAGGAGGGGACGTGGATGGGGAAGCAGTGGGGGGTGGGGGTTTGGGTCCCTCGTCCTCTCAGGTCAGAGGAGGAAGAAATAGGGGATGCTGAAGTGACCAAGGCTCCCTGGAAGAGGGGAAAGATTTGGAAGGTGCTAGCGAGGAATCTAGATCGGGTAGACCCGTTTTTGCGGTGGAGAATATGGAGGGGCTCCTAAGGGCTATTTATGCCTCAGAGGACATCCCAGAACCAGGGATAGTGGGAACTCAGTCCCAAGGTCTTTTCTTCAGATAAGTCAGGTTTTTGGCAGCCCAGAAATAGACCTTTTTGCCTGCAGGAAAAACAGGAAGGCGAGGCAGTATTTTTCCTTGGCCAGGGAGCAGGGGTCCGAGGGTCTGTACACGTTGGCGCAGGAATGGGATTTCAAGTTGGCATATGCATTCCCCCCCCCCCCTCTGGCATTGATCCCGTGAGTACTACAGAAGCTGACCTGGTCAAGCTGTAGTCTGTTCTTGCTGGCCCAGTGGTGGCCAAGAAGAGCCTGGTTCGCCAGCTTGAAGAGATGGTCCATGTCGCCCCCACAGCGTCTCCCAGTCAGGAGGGATCTCCTCTTGCAGAGGCTAACTCTGCACCCCAATCCAAAGTTTTTTTCGGTTAACAGCTTGGCTTTTGAAAGGGAGATTGTAAGAAGGTGTTCTGGGAGGGTAATACACTCTTCTCAGTAGGAAGCTGGTCACTGGAAAAATATAAGCCTAGCCTTTCTCCAAGTAGCGGTGGATAAAGGTATAGCGGTAAACGTCCTATAGGTGCAAGTGGTGGCATAAGTTACATAATGTTCCAGCTTGGCTTTAAACCAAGCCAGCCGTTTGAGCCAGTGGCACACAGATTTCTGCTAGGATTTGATATTTTAGCCATCACAATGGCAAGGAGGGTGGGTGACCTTCAGAGCCTGTCGATTAAGGAACCCTTCCTAGTGGTATTAAAGGACAGGGTAGTGCTTAGGTAGGGTCTCTTTATTTGCCAAAGGTGGCCTCATGGTTTCATAGGACACAGAAGATTGTCCTACCGGAGCATCTATTGAACAAGTCTGCTGAGCAGCCACATGGACAAACCAGGACACCTTTATGAGGCACTACAGGGTAGAGCTGTTGTCACCTCAAGACCTGGCGTTTGGCAGAAAAGTATTTACAGGCAGTGGTCCCGCTCTAAGGTAGACCTCGATTCTTGTCTCAGGTGTGCCGTCCTGAAAAATGACTAGAGAAAAGTACCAGTTACACTTACTGGTAACCGTGTTTTTGGGATATCTTCCAGGACGGCAGGCCTACTTCTCACCCGTGTCTGGTGTTATTTTGAGGCAGAATACCTTTCATACACTAGGCTGCGGGATTACTCTTAAAAAACAAACTGAATGGAGGCATAGATATTTGTGGGTACCACTAAACAAAGTAGATGCTGTCCAGTAACCAAAAAAAACCTATAGAAAAAAAACAGTGTGAACAGAGAGTTCACAAAAAAGCAGTTACCGTATTTTTCGCTTTATAAGGAAGGAAAATGTCAGTGCGTCTTATGGAGCGGCTGGTCTGGTATTTCTGCCGCTGCCACCATGTCAGAACACCGGGCCGGCCGCTCAGCTCTTCTCTCCTGCAGGACCTTACCTGTTCCTCTGTCCAGCGCTGTAGTCTTCCCGTGACAGCCGGGTGCCCACTGCGCGAAAAGCGCTGCGCTTTGTGAATGGCCCGGCAACTTCTGGGACACATGACAGGTCCCAGAAGGCGCCGGGCCATTCACAAAGCGCAGCACTTCTCGTGCATGCAGAGTGGGCACCTGGCTGTCACAGAAGCTGGCGCGGGAAGAAGCCAGCGTGCCCACACTAAAAGGACAACTTCAGGTACCCGCTCCCCCTCCCTACCCAAAGGTCGGCATTCCGTTGGTCATCCCCTGTACTGCGTCGGCATTCCGTTGGTCATCCCCTGTACTGCGTCGGCAGTCCGTTGGTCATCCCCTGTACTGCGTCGGCAGTCCGTTGGTCATCCCCTGTACTGCGTCGGCAGTCCGTTGGTCATCCCCTGTACTGCGTCGGCAGTCCGTTGGTCATCCCCTGTACTGCGTCGGCAGTCCATTGGTTCAGAATATTTTTTTTTTCTTGTTTTTCACCTCTAAAACTGTACATAAAGGAAAAGGCGGTACACCAAAATGTAATCATGTAATGCTTTTATTAGTAAAATTGCAGTATCAAGCAGTTTAATGAAAACTGCATAGTAGCCATCACCTCGCCTATAGACAGTAGGACAATACAACCTAAAAACAAAAATAAAAAAAGACATCATGGCTAGGCCAAAATGCATAGTATGCTGAATGGGCAACGACTAAATTGTTTTCTGCCAAGACCGCAAACACATCGGGGTGCACCACCAGGATAAATGTGTATGTCAAATAGATAATGGTTACAGTGCAACAAGTCCAAGTACATATACAAAGGCAATATGCTGGACCGGATATAATTCAGATCTGTCCCAGTATGAATAGTCTCAAACCCAGGTATGGGATAAGTCACTTGGTGAAGCAGTTCCTGGTAATGGATCAAGGCAAGCAGAGTCAATATAAATAAATGTGTGTCAAAATGACGGCAAAATAAGGCACTAGAATCAGCCTGGATGATACATAGCTTCCTCAGCTGGGCGCTGAAATAGATGTGTGACTTCCATGTAAGTCATTCAATGATGGTAATAAAGATATCCTCATGGGATCAGTAAATGAATATGGCGTTGTGATATCCTTGGTATGAAGTGCCGTGTTGTCCAGGTATGAGTGGAGTGTGCAACTCGCCACCTGCTTGGACAATAAGAAACGGTCACCCTTCCTGGGATGGATAGTTCCTTAAGGGGAGTCCGTATGGCAACCGCCGTATCAGGACTCCTATAGGCAGAGCCCTACCTCCAGATACGTGCGCCGTCCATCAGTGGTCTGCACTGGAAAGTAGCGTGACTCCTCGTGTCACCGTGCGGGATTACTCTTGCATAACTGAGCAGTGGAGGGAAGGGGGCCGGGTAATTTAAACTTAGTTTTTTTTTTTTTATATTGTGTTTCCTGTCAAGTGGAGCTAGTCCTCTCTCAGGTGTGCCATCCTGGAAGGTTTCCCAGAAACACCGTTACCGATAAGTGTAACTGGTACTTTTTGGGTTGTTACCAGAACAGGAATAGAAGGGATATCTTCAAATGGGGTAACTTATTCTGGTAACGACCACAAATTCCTTCCCTTTGGAAAGACTCTCACACTTTCTATTGTGTCAAAGAGACAGTAAGTGGAGGAAAATCTCCTTTGGAAAACAGTTGGTAGCAAAAAAACTGATGTGGTTATAACCATCCCTTACTCTATACAAAATGGGGCGAAAGGTTTGCCTTTTTCTATTTTATTAGTAGTTTTTAACTTTTTTTTTTTTTTTTCATTTATTGCTATCACTAGGGGGCCAGCAAGCCCCCCTATGTGATAGCATTGGGCAAATTGGAGATGATACACACTGTTTATGGAGACCTCAGGGCCCTCTGCGCATTCAGCTTTGCACACCTTATCTTGACAGCTCTGAACCTGAAAGTGCTTAACTGGGCACAGAGTTCCCACTCTGCAGAGTACATTGGAGAATATTTGTATCTCTGTGTCCTCCCATTTACCATCCTGACATTTTGTGGTCCTGGGCTCCCAGGAGGAGTGGGAGTGCCTGAGAACTGTGAGGCCCCTAAATGACCAGACAGCTCCATAGTCTCCCAGATCACTCTTTACTATACAGCCAGGAGCCTGCTGAAGAAAGTAGATGAGATTTCCTGTGGGAGAGATGAGACTCCTTGGTGGTGTGACCTCTATATTTGGAGGTGCTGGATATTCTTGCAATCTGCAGAAGAGTGTGGGGATGGTGGGAATATGGAGGCTGGATCAGCTCTCTGTGATCATGTAGGGCAAGGTGTCAGTGCTGCTCTAAAGATTTTAAATTCTAACATTTGTCCTCCATATTATTATTATTATTGTTGTTATTATTTTGTATTTTTTTCATAGATGTTTAGTACAAAATATAATCCATTAAAGTGTAATAATTCCAGTTATTCTTTGCTTTAGTTTGGTGTGGCTGAGCCAAGGAAGAGGGCATATGCCAACTACTATAAGAATTATGATGTAGTGAAGGAGTTTGAAGCCATGAGGGACGCTGGAGTATTTCAGGGTGTGAGGCCCAAAGACGAATGAGGCCACATTCCAGGTAATGAGTGTCTGAGATAACTGGTGGTAAGCACAATATACACTATTTTGGTATATGTGATGTGTGAGCGCTAAGGACTCGAAATCATTTGACACATGCACAAGAGCATGGCAACCGAGGAAAATAACCAAAGTTGGCAACAAGTCATGTTTATTATTTAGCTGTTTTTGGGTAAAAAAGGTGTCATTCATGACTACTACTTAAGATAAAAGCGCTACAGCTGTCCTTTTTGATTCTGATCTTACTAGTTGGCAAGTAGCTGCAAGCATTAAAAGTAAAGTGGATTTTCTATGGGATTGCTAACCTTGACATTTTTGTAATAGCTATTTAATTTCCTTTCATTTTTTTTTTTTTTTTTTTATCTGATGGCAAAATCACTAGCAACAATCACTCTGTTGTGAAATGTTACAGCCATCGGAGTGTCTGCAAATTGCTGAAGGAGAGTGGTTGGGTTATAAGGCAAAGCACAGCCCAATGGTGTAGTAAATCGCTAGCTAGGGATTTGTAGCAGCAATTGACCTCTGTGAAAATATTGCCTACATGTTGTCAGTGCAAGAGTAGAAAACTTCACAAACTGCATGCTTGTTCAGGGAAGCAGTTCATTAGGGGATGAAACCGGGGTCAGATGACTGCACTGGAGCCAGCCTTCTTGTATGCAGATTGTGAATGACTTCTTGAATTAATTCTTTAGCCATTGGTTGGGTACACTGCACTGTGCATGTGCTGCAGGCAGTCTGCACAAAAAAACATTGTTGGGAAAAGTGTGTGTGTTGGACTGCCCGGGACCCCTCCTGAGTGTGTCCACCGAACAGTGCCTCCTGCCCTCTAAACACTTCCAGAAGACCAAGAGCTAATGCCAGTCCTTTACCCTAGGCCTCATACACAGACAAGATTGAGGTAAAAACTAAAGGAAATCACTTTATCAAACAGAAATACAAGATTTTATACACTTCAGAAATGGGGGCTGTACCCACAAGAACAATTAAAACAAATATTATACATTAGGATAAACGTCCCACAATGATTAGGTAACGAGGTAAAGTTGCACAAGACTAATTCCATCATGTAGGAACCTCCAGGAGGATCAGCCAACAGATAAACAATTGGTGACTCGACTCAATTATCAGTGGGAGAAAGGCACACAACAAGTAAATACATAATGCCTTAATAAACAGATTACAGCAGGACACCTCAGCATCATGTTTTGAGCTTGATTATATTACCATTTTGCTCTGAATCCAGGAGTGGGTTGAAGCAGTCAATGCTTGTTTGGGCACAGAGGCCCAAAATCTGTATCCATATCATCCAATTCTCAGAGTATGTGTGTTTTGGGGAGACATGGACTTGAATCTGAAGTAAACTCCTCTAAAAGTCACACCAGGCACACACCTAAAGAATAAAGCCCCCTCAAATGCCAGGTCCCATAGTCAGTAGGCAAGACGCTAGCCTGCAGTCCCCTCCAAAAGCCCCTGTCCCGGTTGGGTCTGTATAAAATATATATATATATATATATATATAGATATATATCTATCTATATATATATTCTCTAGGACTGCCGCTAACAATTTTTATAATCAATTAGTTGGCCGATTGTTTCGATTTATCTGACAAAAACCCTCCAAAAAAGTTTGGTGTTAAGTAAGCTGGTCACTGTGTCCTTAACAATGGGTGACTTGCAGCTGACAGTAGATTTTCTGATGACAGCTGCATGTAAACAAAACATGCTGGAAATTAAGGATTATGAAAAAAAACAGTGTGGGAGTCCCATCCGTACCAGGCCCTTTGGTCTGGTATGATATGTTAAGGTAAACACCAAACCAAAATTAAACAAAAAAAAAAAATTGTCATGGGGGGGGGGGGGGGGGGGGGGGGGGGGGACGCTTCTGCAAAATCCATACCAAACCTAAGGATTAGGGGGGGAACCACCATGCTGCATCTGAAATAGTACCACATGTGATACTGCCACAAAACCCTGGTGATAAATATTGCTTTATTTTATTTTTTTTTTTACTTTCTGTTATGTTTGTGAATTAGACTTGACCGCTTACCGCATGTTTTTGCTATACTTACCAGCACACTTTTCATTTTGCGTTTTTAAATACCACATAGTAAATTTTTTTTTTTTTTTTTTTCCCCCGCATGCAGTAATTTATACAAATGAGTTACATGTTATCTCTTGCGGTAACCTTTAGTGAATTGACCCCTTAAAAGCAGTGTGTGGGTTTTTTTTTTTTTTTTTTTTTTTTAAAATCACCTGTCGTGGTGTTTAATAAAAAAAAAAAAAAAAGCCTTTTTAAAATACAAAAACAGCAGATAATCACTAGTAAAAGGGGTTAATTTATACTGTGAAACAGTGAAAGTACTAGAAATATATTTATATAAGCTGGGGTTCAGACATGAAGCTATTTGAAGGGTGGGGGTGGAAATGTAAGTAGTACTAAAGGCGGAGACTTTTTTTTCCCCCTTTTACCAAGGATATAATCATTTTTAAACAATGTACAAAATTGGTAAGCTTTTAATTGTAATGCCTTTATATTACCTCCAGTCTATCAACCTCCAGCTTCTCTAGGTTCAGATGCTGATCATCCTTGCACAGAGCCTTTAAAGTGAAGCATGGATATTATTTATTAATTTTTTTTGTTATACTTGCCTTCTCTGTTATGTAATGGTTTTGCACAGAGAATCCCCAACCCTCCTCTTTTGGGGTCCCCCACCAGCGCTTACCTTCCAATTACCCCTATAACAAGCTGAAAAAATATAGTACAGAGTACCCCTATAGCAGGTTAATAAAACTGCTGCCTTTATCACTGCCCAGGACTACATGCCCTACGATGCATTGCTCCCCATACATTCACAGTCACAAGGTCTCAGACATTTACTGACGTATGGATGGTGTACTGAGCTGTACGTGTGCTGCGCTGTATTTTCTGATTATGTAAACAAATAATGCATTCGATATGCAGGCCAACTAATCCGCTGACCAACTATTCGATTATGAAAATATTTGACTACTATTTTCATAATTGTCAATTAGTTGTTTGAACCCTATATTATTCACTCCCACTCTATTTGTTTTGAGCCTTTTGGTGGTGCTGGAAATTGAGCAGCCATGGCAACATTTTGGAAAGTATGACTTTATGCAAATCGCCTGTAGATTCTTGGGTCTTTGTCATTAATATTAGAAAATGCAGTTGTTTGGCAGAGGATTTCAGCTCTGAACTGTGAATTTTTATCGATGTGACATTCTGTTTACTCGCTTATTTTTTTTTTTTTTTTTTTTTTTTCTTTTAGGATTCTGAATTGCTCCATGTGCTGGACATTCTTGATGCGAATTGCAATATCCAGTGCAGGTGTACACCACTGGACTTCTTTTTTCACTGTTCTTTAAATGTGTTAAATAAAACATTTGAAATCCTGAATATTTCCTGCGTGTTCAGTGGCTTTATGTGGTATGTAATGGGTTATTGGTTGTCCTCTTCTCAGCCTAAGTCTGTTCATACAATTTTTAACCCCTTCCTGCCACCTGTACACATGTGGCCTCACAGAAGTGAATAGTCTTCTGTGAGGCCACACATATGCGTACCTATCTTTGTGCGGGGGAGCGTGCCTCCAGCACAGAGACCAGGTTTTCACTGGGAACCCCAGGGTCTAGTACTAATGTTGGAGAACCTGTGGTTCCTGATTATATCAACACTTTAATAGCCTCTATTTGGTTATCACAGCAATCAGAACCAACAAGGTGCCGGCTGAACAGTAACTGTTTTTTTTTGGTTGGTTGCTTGTGGGGTGTGTGTTTTTTTTTTTTTTTTTTTTTTTTTTTTTTTTTTTTTTTTTTTTTTTTTTTTTTTTTTTTTTTTTTTTTTTTTTAAGTATTGGGCCAAAAATAAAAATGTCATATATTGCAGTATACCAATCATTAGATGGGATCTGGACAGTAACACTTTTTTTTTTTTTATTAGAGTGCCTCCTGTCTGAATGGAGGAGCAACAGAGACACTTCTGGCAGCAGCACTGTTAATCTGGGGAAGGGAGTATTAGATGTACTGGAAAAATTGAACCCGAACTCCAGCTGACACTTCTGCAAGCAATTACAGCAACAGTAATTAGTCTAAAGTGCTGTAGTGACCTGATAATAGTAATGATGAATATAACATATGCTAGCCCTAATATACCTAAGGGGACTAGCAAGTGAATATCTGCCTTTTATGCCAAAAGGTGATTAACCACTTGCCACCTGCCCACAGTACATTTACTACGGGTGGCATGGGCAGGCTGGATCACATATGTGTACATCATCCTGGGATGTGTGGAGGACACAGTGGATTGTGGCTCCTGGTACCCAGCAGCTTTGAGTGGCCCGGACATTCTGTGATCACTATGCAATGGCATGATCACAAGGTCAACAAAGCTGTTATCCTTGTCATTTCACATTCATATACAGTGATGGTATGAGTAGCTACAGCTAATCACATGGTACAGGGTGCTGTGATTGGCTCAGGTACCTAGTAATCAGCTGTTTTGAACGGGTTACATTCATAACATTTGCTTTTACAATGAAAATCAATTAACGGAAAAGTTAGATTAAATTTTGTTTGTCCCTGATCACGCCACATTAGTCCTATGATGACACTGCCCTTGTGACTGTGTAAAAAAACAAATGTTTTATTTAGGTTCTTCATTTTCCAAAAAACTTGCCATGCCTCCCACTAAATACCTCAGACTGTCTACTTTCCAAATATGGGTCATTTGGGGGGTATTTGAACTGTCGTAGTGTTTTTGGGCCACAAGAAATGCTATCAGTACATCAGGATTTTTCAAATATATCCCATAGCTTGTAGACGCTGTAACTTTCACACAACCCAATTAATATACACTTGTTTGTTTTTTTTTATACCAAATACATGTAGCAAAATCCATTTTAACCTAAATTTTATGAAGGTTTTGTTTTTATTAGAGATGTGTTGGTGTAAAAAAAAGTATGTATATAA